AGAGCATCAGGCACAAACTGCCATTGCAGGGCTCTGCAGGAGACGCTTCCCCCTGGCAGGTCCCGTTGGTGATGGTGAGGATGTGCTGGGGCATCCACGTCCCACTGTGAGGAGGGAGGTCCTGCTGGGAAGTCACCCATGGGGCTGTGGGGGAAAATTTGGGGTAATCTGCAGAGTTGGGAGCACTTTGCACCAAGCTGCCATGGAAAGGGTTAATAATACCAGTGGACAGGGACAATGTGAATTTTTCCTCTATTGTTGCTCCCTGGAGTTGCTTCTCCAGCGCCCGTGTCTTGTGCTGGATGGTGTAAGATCCAGGGCAGGGATCCTGGAGGACACAGCCAAAGACCTTCTCTTGGTAAAAGCACATTCTGGTTCCACGTCTCCTGCACATCACAGGTGACACGGAGGAGCAAGAGGCTGTGTGGCCCCATTTGCCTTCTGGCCCTGCTCTCTGGGAAACCCGTAGGATCTATCCATCTCTGTGCTATGTCCTAAGGGGTCCCTGTTCCTCTGGCCCCATTTGCAGCTCCTGTCTAGTCCCCTGCCTCACGGTGCTACCTCATGCAATGGTGTTCAAGCCCCCAAAACCTTCCTGGTGTCTTTTGCTCCAGCCCTGATCCCACCATCCCCCATTCTGCTCCTTGCTCCTAAGAAATAGGACTAGGGGCAATGGCTTTAAGCTGGAGGGGAGCAGATTTAGATTGGAGATTGGGAGAAAGTTCTTCACTGTGAGGGTGGTGGAGCACTGGAACAGGTTGCCCAGGGAGGTGGTTGAGGCCCCTTCCCTGGAGATATTAAAGGTGAGGCTCGACGAGGCCCTGGGCAACCTGGTCTAGTTGGGGGTGTCCCTGCTGACTGCGGGGAGGTCAGACTAGATGACCTTTGGAGGTCCCTTCTGGCCTGGATGATTCTATGATTCTATGAAATGCTGAGCTAATCCCAATTCAGAGCTGAGCCCCTCATCTGATGGTTTGCTGTGACCACCATGGCTTTCCCAGCCCTGTAACCTCCACAGACGCTGCTGCTGGATCCTGGGTTACACTGTAGGTTTCCTCACAATGAGGGTGGCTTCATGTCAAACACAGATCCCCGTGGAAACTCACAAGAAACACCTGGATCCCAGCATCCTCCCCGAGATAAGACCCAGGTGGTGCCCCCAGCATTTGAGCCCCATGTGACATGTGGGGTGACACCCTGTCGGTTGACATTCTGTGGGGCCCTTGCTGCTCACCCGTGGCATGTTTAAGGGGCCCCCACCTCTTGCCCACTCAGCACACAAATGCCCCATCCCCTCCCAGACACCTCCTGTCCCAGGGAGCTCAGACACCAAAGAGGGACCCCTCAGCTTGGGGGTGCTGGTGGATGAGAAGCTGGACATGAGCAGGCAGTGGGACCTTGCAGCCCAGAAGGCCAATCACATCCTGGGCTGCATCAAAAGATGCGTTGCCAGCAGGTCCAGAGAGGTGATTCTACCACTTTACTCTGCTCTGGTGAGACCTCACCTGGAGTATTGTGTGCAGGTCTGGAGCCCTCAATATAGGAAAGATATGGACCTGATGGAGCGGGTCCAGAGGAGGGCCACAAGGATGATCAGGGGGTTGGAGCCCCTCTGCTACGAGGACAGGCTGAGGGAGCTGGGGTTGTTCAGCCTGGAGAAGAGGAGGCTCCGGAGAGACCTAATAGCAGCCTTCCAGTACCTGAAGGGAGCCTACAGGAAGGCTGGGGAGAGCCTGTTTAGAAAGGCCTGTAGTGACAGGACGAGGGGCAATGGCTTCAAGCTGGAGGGGAGCAGATTTAGACTGGAGATGAGGAGAGGGTTCTTCACTGTGAGGGTGGTGGAGCACTGGAACAGGTTGCCCAGGGAGGTGGTTGAGGCCCCTTCCCTGGAGATATTCAAGGAGAGGCTCGATGAGGCCCTGGGCAACCTGGTCTAGTTGGGGGTGTCCCTGCTGACTGCGGGGGGGTGGGACTAGATGGCCTTTGGAGGTCCCTTCCGGCCTGGGCAATTCTATGATTCTATGATTCTAAGCTTCCCCCAGGCTGGGTAGAGGGGTTCCCCTGCAGCACTCCTCCTCCAGCCCCCCAAAACAGACCCCATTACTGCCCACCTCCTGGGGGCTTGCTGGCTGTGAGGCAGCTGCTGGTGCACGACAGACACCGCAGCACAGGGGTGCCATGTCCTCCTGCACCCAGCCAGCCCACTGCTGGAACCTCCTTACCCATTGACACACAGCAATTAGATTCTGCACTAATTGAATTAGATTTAAATTAGATATTAGGAAAAACAAAAAAAGGGTTATTAAACATTGGAACAGGCTGCCCAGGGAAATGGGGAATCATCATCCCATGAGGTATTTAAAAGATGGGCAGACATAGTGCTTAGGAATATGGTTTAGTGATGTTTTTTGTCCGTGTCGGGTTGATGGTTGGACTCAATGATCTGAAAGGTCCCTTCCAACTTAGACAATTCTACAATTCTATGAAATCTTTCTTCCCCTTTCATCATTTTGCCAGGAACTGACCTGTGGTGACCAGCTTACAGGGATGTACCAGGCTTTTGGGAGCACCTTTGAGCCACAACCATCCTGGCATGCCAATGGCTTTTTCTCCGAGTTCCCAAAAGACCATCAGTGGACAAGAAGTGGGTGTCTCGAGCCTCCTCACCAGGACTTCCCCTTGCCTGCACTTTGTTACGTGGCAGTGACATAGGGACAATAGAGGATCCACAAGAGCAGAAACGAAGTAAAATGTTCCACCTGCAACACCAGCAAGTGGAGTTGGCTGAACTGGTGGCACTGGGTTGCTTGGCCACAAGTGCAATATGACGGAGGCATATTGTTTAGATGTTGCGTGTAGCATGCATGGAGTCCTGCAAACCACAGCCAACCGCCCCTTCCCCTGGGCACCGCATGGATGGGGAGACGGTGGGGATATTTTGAAATAGGTTTGGAGGCTGCATACATTTTCCCACTTTCTTTTAGCTGTTTATTAAGGGAGAAGTTGAATTTATGGGATGGGATACATGGGATCAGCAGCCTCAGGCGTGGCCTGGAATGAGTCCTGCCTTGCCTGCAGAGCCCTCAGAGAAGCCATCCAAAAATGTCCCCAAGGAGAGGCAGGATGAGGAGAGATTGGCTGGCCGCACTGCTGGGGTGGGCACAGGGGGTTTTGGCCAACGTCCCCTTGGCCTGTTTGGTGCCTGGCAGCAGGGCAATATTGAGCTTTCTGTGCCTGAGAGCACCAAGAACCACAGAATCATAGAATCATTTAGGTTGGAAAAGCCCTTTAAGACTGATAACCCAACACTGTCATGTCCTCCACTCTCTGGGCCTGACCTCCAGTCAGCTTTGCACCCAGTGAAGAGCCCTCCTGTCCAAGCCATGGGCAGCCAGTTTCTCCAGGAGAATGCTGTGGGAAATAGTGTCAAAAGCCTTACTTAAGTACAAGTAAACAACATTCACAGCCTTTTTCTCACCCACCAAGCAGGTCATTTTGTCATAGAAGGAATCAGGTTTGTCCTCAGAGGGGTTTCAGCTTCTCCAGCCTGCTTTGATGAACGCTGGGGAGCCCCCTGGGTGGCCAAGTCCACTTTTCGGGGCTGACTGAGGGGCCTTAGAGCAGACACCCATCCCTGAACCTGAGCCTTCGACCACAGAGTTTTTTTCCCAACCCAGTCTGCCCCAAGACCCTAAATCCTGGCCCAAAATAGGAGTCACAGCCTCCAGTCACTTGGGTATTTTTTTCCAGGGCAGGAAATAAATTTACGCACAAGAAGGGGAAGTTTTGGTCCAAACAGCTCCTGCAGCTGCTGAAAAGGGGATTTCCAGGTCAGTGGCCCGGGGCTGCACTCAGGGGGGCTGGTTGGGGAGCAAAGGGGCTTGGGGCAGCGGGTGCAGACCAGAAGCACCTCCACGGAGCTGGACATTGTCACCCACCCCAGCACCGGGCAGCAGTGACACTGAGGCAGGCCAGCAGTCTCAGAAAATATTGGTAAAAGTCAGTAAATATATATATTTATGGACTTCTCAGGATGATGTCCAGAGGTCTGTGTCCAGGTGGGACTGTACGAACACCTCCACAGCCCAACCCTCCCCAGGCTGGGTGAAAGCTCAGTGTCCCCAAACACCACATATTCTCCTCAGTGGTTCTCCCCAGGTGTCCCCCCCCACTCCACTTCACTGGTCCAGCACAGTCCCTTCTGTTTCAGCCCAGAGACACATAAGCAATATTTAAAACAATTTTATTCATGAAAATATGCTGTACAATGCACTATACACAGTTCTTTACATTGCCACATACACAAACTCTAATAGCACGATCAAGAAAGTTACCATTGCCTACGATAGATGCGTGGTGAGAGATGACGCCTGTCAGAGACCCTCCCCCCCAAGTCTGTACAGTTATAAATACGAGGGAAAGGACGGACCGAAAACTGCCGTATGAAGCAAACCTGTGGGGTCCCTTCCACATCCCCCTGACGCCGGCTCCTGGCTCCGGGCAGGGCTGGGGCTGGGCGGGAGCAGGGCTGGGAGCAGAGGATGCTCCTTGTCCCCAAAGGCTGTCCTGTGGGGCGGCGGAGGGAAGCGGGGGGGCCGGGATGGAGAGGGGGTGATGGAGAGGGGAGGCTGAAGCCGAGCGAGGTGGGACATGAGGTGGCTTGTGCTCGGGGAGCCGTTTCCAGAGAGGGAACCTGGAGCCTCGCACAGTGAAATAAAGCCCTGATTTCCCCTTCCAGCAGCGGGGCAGTGGGGGCTGCAGGGGGGGGCATGACCTTGCCAGCCACCCCCAGGACCTGCCTGCCCCATGGACACAGCCCTGACCCCCCCCCATGCCATCACCACCCCTCGGCTCTGCTCCCCTCGGCCGCGGCGGGACCAGCCCGTCTCGCCTCCCCCTCCACCCGTCCCCGGGGTCCAGCCACTTTCCACGGGGGGGTGTCTCTGTGCCTGCCCCCCCCCCGCTGCCTGCCATCCCTCGCACCGCACGACGACTGTAAGGCATTTCTCCTACTGCTGGTGTGGCTTCCCCTCCACAATGATGGTTGGCCCACTGAAAGGGGGTTTGGGCGGGCATCCCTGTGCCTGAGCATCCCATCTGCAAATGCCCTGCTGCCGGGGTGAGCCCCAGCTGGCCCCCGTGCTGGTGTGCTGCTGGGTGTGTGCCTGGGGATGGGATGCCTGGAAGAGCCAGGACCCCTTCCCTATCTCCCATGCTCGGGGGGCAGAACCCCTCTTTTCTCCCCGGGCAGCCCCAGCCGCCCTCCCTGCCTCTCCTCGCCGGCAGCCCTTCACACCTCGTGGCAGAGCCGGGGTGCCGGGTATTAAATAGTCATTTGCAATCAGTTTCCAACAATTTTAAATATGCCTGAAACGAGAGGTGGTGTATAAAAGGAATGCGGTAATGATCCTGACCAAAGAATAATCCTTTTTTAAAAAAGCATTCAAGAAAGATTATATATAATAGAATATATTAAATTCTGTACATGATCAAATAATGTAAACATAATTAATTAACCTGTAAAAATGTCTTTAGCGACTATGCCCGCCGTGTGCCCAGGGTGAAGATGAAGGGTGGCACATGGGGCTCCTCTGTCCCGCTTTGCCACAGCCCGGTGGGTCAGGAGAGGAGCAGGAGGTGCCCACCCTGGCTCCCACCCTGCCCCAGCTCCGAGCCCCCACACCTCCCCTGCGGCTCGTGGGACCCAGCGCCTGCCCCGTGGTAGAGGAGATGGTGCTGGGGCAGGAAGGGAAGAGCTGGGCCAGGAAAACGTGCTGGTTCAGTGGACTAACCCTCGCTGCATCCCAGGGGCAGGGGGTCTGAGAAAGCGTGTGGTCCCCGGAAGGAAGACAGGGTGTGCCAAGAGCCCCAGGGGACAGAGAGCAGCTCCCACAGCCTCTCCCCCCACCCCTCCATCTCCTCTGCCTGCCTGCCCTGCTCCAAACCCTGCTGCCCCACGGGATGGGCTCCTGGCAGTGGGTCCCTGGCTCACCCCTGCCCACAGGGCTGTGGGGCCAGTTTGGGGTCCCCACACGCAGCAGTGACTCATGGTCCCCATCCCCACGGAGAACCGGACCCCGGGAGATGGGTGCACCATGGCTGCCCCCTCTTGCTGCCATCCCCCCAGACCAGCTCTCCTGTCATCCTGGGAATGGGCAGGGACGAGGGACAGGCATGCTGGCTGCTGGCTGGAGTCACTCTTGAGACCAGCAGTGGCCCCCCAGAAGCCCCACAGCCCTGTGGCATCTCCCTGAGCTCTGCAGGTGGGGGAAGCAGCGTGGATCACCCAGGCTTGGGGCAGGGTGGGCCTCACACTGCCTCCAGAGGCCTGGCCACCGCATCCCTCCCCTCCTCTCACCCCCACACCCTTCACCAGGGGTGACACAGCTTCCACCTCACCATCCAACACCCAGTGCCACGGCCAAGCTGGGACGCGTGACGTGGCGCAGCCCCCAGCACTGCTCGCAGCCTCTCTCCTCCTCTCCCCGTGCTCCGCCCTTGCTGCCCCCCAACACAAAACCTCAATGGCAAAAGAGTGCATGAAATCAAATAAATACGCCCCAATCCCCGACCCTATGTGCTCCCCCTGAGCCTGTGACACAGGGACACCCAGGCCAGCAGCGGGTCACTCCTGACAGGACCACCTCGTGCAGGAGCATCTCACGCCTGCTCCAGGCAGGGCACGGCGGCTTTGCTGTGGGCAGGAGTGACTGTGGCACCCTGGGCCACCAGTGGGCACGTGGGCTGCCCAGATGCTGCCCCCAGGGCCCCCTTCCCTCCATGGCCAACCCCCCTTCTCACTCCTTGGGAAGAAAACCCACCTGGAGCCAGGCGAGACAACCCGCAATGGAGGTGGCCTGGCAGGGGGGGGGTTGGGCTTGGCAGAGGTCCCATCTCCACCAGGATTTAAAGGTGATGAGCCCCTCCTTGCCCCAGGGCACTGTCCCTACTCCTCACACTCCTACTCTGGGGACTCGTTTTTGGTGGTGACTCAGAGCAAAGGGGCCCTTTCCAGAGAGGGGTGCCCAGGCAGGGGGTTCCCATGCCACCGGCCATTACCGCTCCGTCACCAGCCCAAGGACAAACCAAACTGGCATTGTCACAGTGGGGCACTGGGACCGTCTGGAAAGGAATTCCCTTCCTGCTTCCCCCCTGGACCTGCCTGGCTCTGGCTGCCTTCCCCAGGTTTCCTCTGGAGGATGCTCGCAGGAGGACCCAGCGGATCAGGCACATGTGGGGGCCAGGGGCCCTACCCCGTCTCAATTTGTGACCCTACGGTGTGTTTTGTTGTTCGACCCCAAGCTCCGACCGATGGCTCTAGCCCATCTTAACAAACAAAGGCAGAAGAGAAAGGAAAAAGAAAAAAGAAAAAATTAGTTAGTCTCAATGTTTCCCCTCGTGGCTTCTCGGCGGTGAGCCCCCCCTACCCCGGGGCAGGCGTCACCCGGGCACCCAGCTCTGGTTCGTGGGCTGCGGGCCCCCGGGCAGCGCGGGCACGTTGAGCCCATTCTGCGGGGGGAGAGCCGAGTCGAAGTTGAAGTCCATCTCATCGCTGTCCATAAAGTCATTCAGGATGATGGACTCCACGTCGCACTCCAGGCTCCCGTTGAACATGTCCAGGTCCAGGTCTGCTGGGAACCTGTCTTGGCCCAACACAGGGGGGTGGACGGCCCCCGGGTAGGGGCCCTGCAGCGAATCCAGCAAGCTCATGTGTGCCCCTTGGTTATTAGCGTAGGAATGCAGATGCCCGTGGTGCGGCATGGCCGTCATGCTGCACGTGTCACTGGGCAAGCTCATAAGGCTGACAGGATTAGCTAAGGCACTGGTGTTGACCGCAGGGTGGTGACCGGCTGGTGACGGGTGGTACAAAGCATTGCTCTTCATGAGAGAGCCCGGGTGGGACGGGTAGGAGGACAAACCCTGCTCCCCGCTCCCGCACAGCAGCGGGTTGTGTCTGTGGCCACGGGCCGGCACCATGGGGCTGGCCTGCGGCAGGGGCAGGTCCCCCGGGACCATGCTCTCCTTGTGCGCGTAGGAGATGGAGGACAGCAGGTCCTGCAGCGAGGCGTTCCTGTAGGAGCTGACAGGCGAGAAGGTGGCTTGCTTGTTCTCCTGGATGGTCTGCATGGGCAGGCGGCGCATGAGGCTCATGGCCGGCTGGCTGTAGATGGTCCCGCAGTAGGTGTTGGTGGCAGCCCCCATGGTGGAGCACTTGGAGTTGAAGGAGAAACTGGAGCTGCGCTGTCGCAGGGCGGCCGGGGGGAGCTGCTGCGAGGGGCTCATGGTGTAGCCATCCTGCAGGTCCTCCAGCATGCTCTCCCCCAGGCTCTCGTTCAGGCTGATGGTGCCGGTCAGGTCGGTCAGCCGGGGCAGCTCCACGGAGCAGCGGGCATTGAGGGAAGGAGACATGGTGCTGGAGGGGCTGGGGTACATCAACGGAGAGGAGGGGGTACCGTCGTCCTCCTCCAGCTCGTCTGGCTCGTGGTTGGCCATGATGGGCGAGAGGCGCCCGCTCAACGTGCTGGCGGTGGAGCTGGCCCGCGTCCTGAAGTCCGCCCAGGCGTCATACTCGTCGCTGGCGTGGGACGCGGGGCTCTCCGACCACTTGGCCTGCTGGGAGGACGGGCTGTCTTCCCCGCGCTCCTGCGTCACCTGCAGCTGCTTCTTCTTGCTGGCCTTCCCCTTGATCCGCAGGAACTTGCTGTTGTTGTCCATGGAGACCGCCCGCCGGCGGGGCGTCTTCCCCGTCTTGCCGCCCTCGGGGTTCAGCATCCACCAGGAGCTCTTGCCGGTGCCCTCGTTCTGCACGCGGATGAAGCGGGTGTGCAGGGAGAGGTTGTGCCGGATGGAGTTCTGGGAAGACAGCAAGGACAGAGGGGACGGTCAGCGGTGGCTCCAGCACCCCAGGCAGCAGGGAGGTGACCTCAGGGCTTGGGTGGGGGGGTACACGGAGCACCATGGAGGACCTGGGCTCCATCCCCTGGGACACCATGGCTGTCTGAGTCAGGGGTCTGGGGCTCAGCTGGGGGGGTCTCTCCCACAGCACCGCTGGGTGTTTCACCTCCGGGAGCCCGTGGGTCATGGCCCTTTGCTGTACCTATCAACTGTCCCTCGTTAGTGCAATTACCATCATGGCAGGGAGCGGGAGGGGTGTCTTTATCATGTGCCCCCCCCAGGGACGTGCACCAGCCCTGCCCCAGGCAGGGCCAGGTCTCAGGAGACTCTTCTTCCCAAGAGCCTGAGGAAGGACAAGGTGAAGAGGACAAGGAAAGGACAAGGAAAGCAGAGGCAGAGGCAGCACCGTGCACAGGTCCAGGTCTTCTCCATCCCTCCCAGCCCTGGCCACCCCTGTGCCCAGCAGAGCCCACCAGGATACTTCCAGCACATCCTTGAGCACGAGCACCTCTGAGAGGTCCCAGCCCACTCTCCCCACCCCACCAGCTCCAGGGGCAGAGGGACCCTCTTTTGCCCACACATCACCCAGCACCGACCTTCTGGAGCCACATCCAAACCACGTTCCCTCCCCAGCATCCTTCTGTGATGTGCTCCCCCCATCCCTCATCACCAGGCAGGGTGACGCAGCAGTACCACCACGGCCCAGAGAACTTGTCAGCACCAAGAACTTGTCTCCAAAATTCCTGTCACCCTCTGCCAGCAGGGCCAGGGGCCCAGGAGGTCTGTTTCCCTTGTGTCTGCAGGCTGGCACAGGGACAGAAGGCAGGGACAGAAGGCACACACCCTGCCCAAGAAGCTGGGGCACGACAGCATGAGGGGCTTGCAAACCCAGCTAAAACCCCGTTGCCCAGACAAGGGGCAAGGAGGGGACGGGGGATGGGGACTTCTGGGGACCACTTTCCTCCCAGACACTCCTGGCTCCTGTATCCGTATCCAGCACCTCAAGAGGGTTTCCTACTGAGAGCGACACTCGCTCCTCACCCTCCTGCCTGACCTGGGGCGCTGAGCACCCCACCGGAGTGGGGATGCCCTTGAAAATGCAGGAGGAGGCAGGGAGCTTGCACCAGGGCCACGTCCCAATGCAAACATCCCCAGCTGCCACCAACCATGGGGGGACAGGCTGGGGTGATCCTGGGGAGATGCCTTCAAAGCTCTGGCCGGGGGAAGAGCAGGGGGTGAGGACATCTGCCTCTTGCTGCGGATCTCCTGCAGCCCATGGGACATCTGCATCTCCCACAGCCCAGGGGGTGCCGCTCCAGCTCCCTGCGCCCCCATTTCCCCAGGGTCCAGAGGGGAAAGGGAGGAGGCAGAGCATCACCCCAGGGTGCAGAGACCCTTGCGCTGCCCGTGGGCTCGGAGGGGCTGCGGAAGGGGGGGCAGCTCCTCCTGCCCCTGCCCAGCTGCAGAGGGACGAGGAGGGGGAAGGAACCAAGGTGCCAGGAAGAAAGTTTGGTGCTGCTGCTGGCGTTGGGAATACTAATGAAGAGGCGAGTGAGCTCCAGCCTCATCTATCATATTATGTAATGGCTTACTTCTCTGCACTTCATTTATTTGGAGATTGCTCCCAGGCTGGCTCCTCGCCAGCAGCCACCAAATCCAAGTCTACAGAAATCAATCTCGCGCTGACTGATTAAGCCGTGTTTAGAACTAATTGCTCCTTCGTGTGTGGGGAGAATAAATTACGGGCTTTAATTTCACATCTTTAAAATGCAACTGCAGGTATGGGCTAGCCGTTAACCCCTTCCTGCACAGCCCCGCGCACGGCTGGGGAGGGGGCAGGCCGTGGCTGGCACAGATCAGGGAACAGGCTGGGACAGATCAGGGAACAGGCTGGGACACAGGGAGGTGGCTGCCCATGTCACCGCTCGTCGCCTTTAGCCACAGCAAGCCGAGCCCTGGGCCAAGTTGCCTGGCAGGGAGAGCTCTCCCTGACCCCCCCAACACCTCTCCCTGCAGCCACAGGGTGACCCAAGCTCCCCTCCGTGCCACCAAGCCGTGGTGCAAGCGGCAGGGGACAGAGCATGTGGCCATCACTGTGTTTGCAGAGCCAGAGCCACCAGCTCAGCCCCGTGATGCCATCTTGCACCCACACACATCACCCAGGGGGCTGGGGATGCCCCAGCAGGGCTTGTTTGGGCTCCCTGGCAGGATTGGGGACCCCCAATATAGGGGGTCTGTCCCTGCCAGCGCTCTCTGGGTCTGCTCAGGCAGAAGATGCCACTGGGACTGGGCTGCTGTGCCCAGCACAGAGAGAGGGGACGGGGTTTGAGGGATTTGGGAATGCCATGGATGGATGGGGGTGACGTTCAGCATGGTCCTAACCTCCTCCTCTGCTACTCCCTCTGCTTGGCAGCTCCAGTATGAGGCACCCAGGCACCCAGCACCACCCATGGAGCCAGGCTGGTGTTGGGCAGGGGACCAGGCTGGCGGGGTCAAGCTGCCAGAGGGAGAGGAGGGGAGGGGAGGCTGCTGTCTCTTCTGCAGCGGAGCTTCATTAAGAGCCAAAAGACAGCAGCAATTAAGTGCAAGGCGCTGCGAGCCTGGCTCTTGCCTCATTAGCATCCCGATGCGCTCGGCTGGCTGTGGCTCAGGGTGCAGGGCACAGGGCAGGGGGCTGCACGGGGGCGGGACGGGAGCTTATTAACACCAGGCAGGCAGGGACCTGCTTCACCCCCACCACCGCTCCAGCCAACCCCCGCCAGCCCCCCAGCCACCGGCATCCCACATCCCACAGCACCCTGACACCCTACAGCACCCCGCATCCCACAGCACCCCTCATCCCACAGCATCCTGACACCCTACAACACCCTGACACCCTACAGCACCCTGCATCCCACAGCAAATGCCATGGATGGATGGGGGTGATGTTCAGCATGGTCCTAACCTCCTCCTCTGCTACTCCCTCTGCTTGGCAGCTCCAGTATGAGGCACCCAGGCACCCAGCACCACCCATGGAGCCAGGCTGGTGTTGGGCAGGGGACCAGGCTGGCGGGGTCAAGCTGCCAGAGGGAGAGGAGGGGAGGGGAGGCTGCTGTCTCTTCTGCAGCGGAGCTTCATTAAGAGCCAAAAGACAGCAGCAATTAAGTGCAAGGCGCTGCGAGCCTGGCTCTTGCCTCATTAGCATCCCGATGCGCTCGGCTGGCTGTGGCTCAGGGTGCAGGGCACAGGGCAGGGGGCTGCACGGGGGCGGGACGGGAGCTTATTAACACCAGGCAGGCAGGGACCTGCTTCACCCCCACCACCGCTCCAGCCAACCCCCGCCAGCCCCCCAGCCACCGGCATCCCACATCCCACAGCACCCTGACACCCTACAGCACCCCGCATCCCACAGCACCCCTCATCCCACAGCATCCTGACACCCTACAACACCCTGACACCCTACAGCACCCTGCATCCCACAGCATCCTGCATCCCACAGCACCCCACATCCCACAGCACCCCACATCCCACAGCATCCTGACACCCTACAGCACCCTGCATCCCACAGTATCCTGCATCCCACAGCACCCTGACACCCTACAGCACCCTGCATCCTACAGCACCCCACATCCCACAGAACCCTGACACCCTACAGCACCCTGACACCCTACAGCACCCTGCATCCCACAGCACCCCACATCCCACAGCCCCCATCCCCTGGAAGCAGCACAGGATCACATGGCCCAAAATGTGGGTCTCAGCTCCCAGCCAGGCCCTGGCAGTGCGGTGACACGCAAGGGGACATCAGGGCTGGCAGACCCTCCCTGGCAGCAGCTGCCTTGCACCAGGCCCTGGCACATTTTTGGCACCGTGCAGGAGGAGCAGGCGAAGGCTGATGCCAGTCCCAGGGTTTCCACAGCGCCTCTAACACCACTCTGCCCCTCTCTGTCCTGTGACCAAAAGCCCTGCACCTCTTCTCACAGCAACCTGACCCTTGCTGCGTCTGGAGGGAGACATCTGTCCCCATCTGCCCCCATGTCACTCCTGCCCTGGCCACCCCGCTCCAATGGCTCAAGACCCTTGGCAAAGTCGTGAGACCCTCCCAACACCCTGACCCCACGTGGCACCATAGCCCCATGGCACCCAAATGCCACAAGGCAAGGAGCACCGGTCCCCAGCGCACACCCAGACCATGCCAGGGAGTGACATCCACCGTTTCAGGTGCCAGCCCTGACCCCCATAGCCCTGCAGAGGGGCAGGGGATGCGCTCGGTGGCCGAGGTGACGGCTGGAGGTGGCACCAGGGCTGCCAGGCATTGCAGGTGGACCTGGGCCCTGCTCAGCCCTGGTTGGCACCAAGGGAGGATGAGACTGGAGCCCGTGCCAGCCCTTGGCCACCGGCTACTGGAGGCTTTGCCAACCTGGTGCCATCCCAGTGCCTGTCTGCTGGTGGGCTGCAGGGCCTGGCACGAGGATGGGGGAGTTGGTGGGAGATGTGGGCACCCATGGAGCCTCCTCACCACCACCACCCCCCCCCCCCCAGCCACGGAGCCTCATTGTCAGGGGAACAGCCAGTGTGAAATCGGTCTGATTAGCAATTAGTCCCATTGTAAAAGGATTAGCCAGACCCCATTGTTTGGACGAGTGACTTGACTATCAATTTGCATCTGGCAGGGATGATGCTGCTGCTGCTGCTGCTGGGACTGTGCCCCTCCCCCCCCCCCCCCCCGCG